GCGGACCTGTTTCCCTCCATTCCCATAGCATTTTAGGATTCTAGATTCCTTAATCTAATCGTCATAAACAGTTTTCACACTCCAGACTGCTCGCCTTTACTACTTCCTTTACCACTTCCTACGTCGCGGACCTGATTCCCTCCCTTCCCATAGCATTTTAGGATTGTAGATAACTTGATCTAATCGTTATTAACAATTCCCACACTCCGGACTGCTCACCCTTACTACTTCCTTCACCACTCCCTATGTCGTAGACCTGTTTGCCCTCCTTCTTTATACTATTTTAGAATTGCAGATACATAAATGCCACAGACGGTCCCCACACTTTGCACTGCTAGCCTTACAACTTCCTTCCCCATTTCCTACGTCATGGACCTGTTTTCCTCCCTACCATTACATTTTAGGATTGCAGATACCTTAATTTAATCGTCATAAACAGTTCCCACACTCCAGACTGCTCGCCTTTACTACTTCCTTCACCACTTCCTATGTCGTGGACCTGTTTTCCTCCCTTTCCATAGCATTTAAGGATTGCAGATACCGTAATCTAATCGTCATAAACAGATCCCACACTCCACACTGCTACCCTTGACTATAGAATCTAGTAATCTTCAGTATAATCTTTGCTCAATAGGAACAACTGATGTTTTTCCTTTTGTACTGTATTTTGTTTTGCTAGTGTACTGTGGATAGACACAAGTCTTTTGTTTACTTTTTCCTTGTTATTTAATTCAGCCAACATGGTTACCTAGCAACCCATAAGACTAATGTTAAAAAAATGTGATTTTCAGTTTCATTTTTCTATGTATTTAGATTTTTTTGGCAGTTCTAACTGCAGTAAACTCGTTTTTAGGCCAGAAATAAACTATTTACAACATTTGAAGAAAATCGTCGGAGCCGTTTTCGAGATCTAGGTACAAGCAAGCAAGCATACATACATACAAACATTGCTCGTATTAGAGTATAGGATAGGATAACTGTATTCAATAAGCAAGCTGAATGAAAACATAGAAGTAACCTAAAAATCTGCAGTAAATTGCAATTTTCCATCCTTAATGAATTCGCTTAATGTGCAGGTTTGCTGCGGCAGGTTTGCTTTTGATGGCTCATCTACAAACCAAGACCGTTCTTTAGACACCTCTACCAAGCTTCTACGCCCAGCAGTTCCCTCAAATTAGTGGAGACAAAGTTTCCAATTAAAAAATACAACATCTGCAAGTAAAAAATCTAAACTGCAGTGGGTGATCACGGATGTTGCTGCGATGTCGTTGTGATCGTATCAGAGGTCCACAGCTGCTGCTATAATCGCTTTTCCAATGTGAATGTTCCGACTCTCCACTATTGCGCTGCCATCGCTGAACCGTACCACAGAAAACATACTACTATAACCACCGTCAATAGGCTTATCCCCTGTTGGTACAACCATACGCTGCCCTGATGATCCGCTAATAATAGGCGTGTGGTCCGTATCCTAGTGGTACGTAGATTATCCACAACCAAATTTTGACGACGACTCTCGGTACCGGTACTGGTTCAGCACGAACAGAACAAAACAGATTTATATCCTGGGGACATTTAATTTCAAAGCATTATTTTTGGCTTGAAACTGTCAGATATTGTGTTTTCGAATGTTGTGAGTATTCCTTTAGGTTTGGAAGCATATTTTGTCAACTGCACACTATGCAATCCATCTGTTGATCTGAATACTAGGTGGCGTTCGCAGAGGCATCCACAAAATTGAGCGGAGTCATCAAGGGTTCATATTATATTGTTTTTGTCATACTGCAGTAAAAACAGTAGTTTTTAATGCATGCGTTGCGGGTCTAAAGTACCATTTTTAATATTTAGGGAGTAAACATCTTTTATACTGTAGCCTCTTTGGAGTAAAAATCAGTTGTTGTCAACTCAGTAAATTTCGATTGTCAACGATTGCATGTATCGAAAATATATATCGATTCGTGCTTCGTAATCATTTTAACATACAGTCTACATAGTCTCTTCCCGTAGCATTTTAGCATTGCAGATACATTAATCCATTCCCACACTCAACACTGCTCACCTTTACTACTTCCTTCACCACCCCCTACGTCGTGGACCTGTTTCCCTCTCTTCCCATAGCATTTTAGGATTGCAGATACATTAAATGTTATAGCCAAAGACAGTTCCTACACTCTGCACTGCTAGCCTTACTACTTCCTTCACCAATTCCTACGTCGTGGGGCCTGTTTCCTTCCCTTCTCATAGCATTTTAGGATTGAAGATACATTAATCTAACTGCCACAGATGGATCACACACTATGCTCATACTTTACTAATTCCTAAGCCACTTCCTACGTCGTGGACCTGTATTCACCACTTTCCAAAATAATTTATTATTTTAGATACGTTAATCTAATTGCCCCAAACATTCCCACACTCCGTACTGCTAGCCTTTACTATTTCTTTCACCATTACCTATAACATGGGCATGCTTCCATCCCTTCTCATAGCATTTCAGCATTGTAGATATACATTAAAACTGCTACAAACGGTTTCCAGTTTCCACACTCCCCACTGCTCACTTTACTACTTCTTTCCCCACTTCCTACGCCACGGACCTGTTTCCCTCCCTTTCCATGGCATTTTATGATTGCAGATACCTTAATAAAATCGTCATGACCAGTTCCCACATTCCAGACTGCTCGCCTTTACTACTTCCTTCACCACTTCCTACGTCACGGACCTGTTTACTTCCCTTCCCATAGCATTTAAGGATTGCAGATACCTTGATCTAATCGTCATAAACAGTTCCCACATTCCGGACAGCTTACCTTGACTACTTCCTTCATCATTCCTACGTCGCGGACCCGTTTTCCTCCCTTCCCATAGCATTTTATGTTTGTTGATATCTTAATCTAATCGTCATGAACAGTTCCCACACTCCAGACTGTTCGCCTTTACTACTTCCTTCACCACTTCCTACGTCGTGGACCTGTTTTCCTCCCTTCCCACAGCATTATATGATTGCAGATACCTTAATCTAATTGTCATAAACAGTTCCCTCACTCCGGACAGCTCGCCTTGACTACTTCCTTCATCACTTCCTACGTCACGGACCCGTTTTCCTCCTTTCCCATAGCATTTTATGATTGCAGATACCCTATTCTAATCGTCATAAACAGTTCCCACACTCCGGACTGCTCGCCTTTACTACTTCCTTCACCACTTCCTACGTCGTGGACCTGTTTTCCTCCCTTCCCATAGCATTTTATGTTTGTTGATACCTTAATCTAATCGTCATGAACAGTTCCCACACTCCAGACTGTTAACCTTTACTACTTCCTTCACCACTTCCTACGTCGTGGACCTGTTTTCCTCCCTTCCCACAGCATTATATGATTGCAGATACCTTGATCTAATCGTCATAAACAGTTCCCACACTCCGGTCAGCTTACCTTGACTATTTCCTTCGCCACTTCCTACGCCACGGACCTGTTTCCCTCCCTTTCAATAGCATTTTATGATTGCAGATACCTTAATCTAATCGTCATAAACAGTTCCCACACTCCGGACAGCTCGCCTTGACTACTTCCTTCATCATTCCTACGCCGCGGACCCGTTATCCTCCCTTCCCATAGCATTTTATGATTGCAGATACCTTAATTTAATCGTCATAAACAGTTCCCACACTCCGGACTTCTCGACTTTACTACTTCCTTCACCACTTCCTACGTCACGGACCTGTTTTCTCCCTTCCTATAGCATCATAGGATTGCAAATACCTTAAAATAATGGTCGTAAGCAGATCCCACACTCCGGACAGCTCGCCTTGACTACTTCCTTCATCACTTCCTACGTCGTGGACCCGTTTTCCTCCCTTCCCTTATAGTTTTTGGAATGCAGATACCTAAATCTAATCGTCATAAACAGTTTCCACACTCCAGACTGCTCACCTTTAGTACTTCCTTTAGCACTTCCTACGTCACGGACCTCAAGCTAGTGTCGTCATTTGATTATATTTATGATTCATACCGTTTCTGTTCTAATATCTGTGGAATAATGCTATCAGCTATTTCTTTATCTATTGCATTCAAAAGTCAACAGCTGATCATATGTCTTTGTTTATGTGTCAAATACTGCTTCCATAAGGATTACATTGAAACTTTGAGACCCAGTGGGGCGGATTCCTGAGAGTTATTTTTAACGCCATATAGATGTTGGCACTCACCGATATGGTCTTTATCACCATCCAAAATTTGAAAACGATTGATTCAGCCGTCTAGGAGGAGTTTGCGTATTACGAAATGCATAAAAGTCGACGTATAAGAGCTTCGCTCGCTTCGCTCGCTCCGCTCAATAATAAGGTTTAAACTGACTACTAGATCCTCGTCCGTAGAACGGGTACACAGCTAGTCAAATATAAAATAACAGATATTCTGGAACCTTTATTTGCAAGAAATTCGGGTTGCTGGGATATTAGATCGACGACAGTTGTGTGTGTAATTGTTTTGCAAGCATATCTTGAAAAATGCAAACTTGATAAAATGCGACAACAAACTGCTGTTCTATACATAATATTGTTTCAATTGACTACAAGATCCCTGTCCGTAAAACGGGTACACTGTTCCTTCCGTAAAACGGTTACACTAGTTCCTTTATAAAATGCTGGAACCAAGACCAGAATTATCATGTTATTGAAAATTGAATTAAAGTTACATTAACGTAGGATGTAGCTACCCAAAATCATAAAAAGTTGACTTTTATCTTGAGATTGGTATACAGTTATTTTATGAAGTATTCAAACGAAAAATATTCGGAACTTTAAAATATAACTTTAACAACACGTCGTAATCCTAAGATGCGTACCTGTTTACAAAAAAACGGATTAGTCATTGATCAAAATTAAAGGAATGCGCTACATTTTAGTGCTTTTGATCTAAGTATTTCAAAATTGCGTCATGGAATCATTTGTACAAGACTTTCCATGTGTTTCTAGATCGTCTGACTGTCTTACACTGACGATGCAGGACGGCCCTGTGCTGACCAGAGTGACGGAGCCTGTGGACCACGGAGAGGGTCCTCACTGGGACCCAACAGAGAAAGTCCTCTACTATGTCGACATATCGGGCCAGGCACTACACAGATATGACCCGGCCATCAAAACTGACATCTCGTTGAAATTTGGTAAGATGTCAAGCCAAAGAGATCTTACTATAATAAGGGGTTTAGATTGACTCGTACACTACTAGTTTACTACACTACTTATCATCAACTTCAACGACTTGGTTTTTGTTTATGCTGTAGACAATCTTGTAGCTCTAGTGGTGCCTTTAAGAGGACAGAGGTATGTCAACAGTAATGATTGTAGAATGGTAGTGATTAGTGAACACCCGTGTCCAACTCCCAAGTCAGCATAACTAGATCACAGGACAGAGGTAAAAGTTTGTAGCTGGTCTGGGACGTGATCTAGTTATGTTGACTTGGGTGTGGGACACTGGTGTTCAATAACATTCTGCAATCATTACTGTTGACTTTCTGTGCGTGTTGTAGACAAACCTGTAGCTCTGGTGGTGCCTATGAGAGGACAGAGGTAAAAGTTTGTAGCTGGTCTGGGACGTGACCTGGTTATGCTGACTTGGGTGTGGGACACTGGTGTTCAATAACATTCTGCAATCATTACTGTTGACTTTCTGTGCGTGTTGTAGACAAACCTGTAGCTCTGGTGGTGCCTATGAGAGGACAGAGGTAAAAGTTTGTAGCTGGTCTGGGACGTGACCTGGTTATGCTGACTTGGGTGTGGGACACTGGTGTTCAATAACATTCTGCAATCATTACTGTTGACTTTCTGTGCATGTTGTAGACAAACCTGTAGCTCTGGTGGTGCCTATGAGAGGACAGAGGTAAAAGTTTGTAGCTGGTCTGGGACGTGACCTGGTTATGCTGACTTGGGTGTGGGACACTGGTGTTCAATAACATTCTGCAATCATTACTGTTGACTTTCTGTGCGTGTTGTAGACAAACCTGTAGCTCTGGTGGTGCCTATGAGAGGACAGAGGTAAAAGTTTGTAGCTGGTCTGGGACGTGATCTAGTTATGTTGACTTGGGAGTGGGACACTGGTGTTCAATAACATTCTGCAATCATTACTGTTGACTTTCTGTGCATGTTGTAGACAAACCTGTAGCTCTGGTGGTGCCTATGAGAGGACAGAGGTAAAAGTTTGTAGCTGGTCTGGGACGTGATCTAGTTATGTTGACTTGGGAGTGGGGCACTGGTGTTCAATAACATTCTGTAATCATTACTGTTGACTTTCTGTGCGTGTTGTAGACAAACCTGTAGCTCTGGTGGTGCCTATGAGAGGACAGAGGTAAAAGTTTGTAGGTGGTCTGGGACGTGATCTAGTTATGTTGACTTGGGAGTGGGACACTGGTGTTCAATAACATTCTGCAATCATTACTGTTGACTTTCTGTGCATGTTGTAGACAAACCTGTAGCTCTGGTGGTGCCTATGAGAGGACAGAGGTAAAAGTTTGTAGCTGGTCTGGGACGTGAACTAGTTATGTTGACTTGGGAGTGGGCCACTGGTGTTCAATAACATTCTGCAATCATTACTGTTGACTTTCTGTGCATGTTGTAGACAAACCTGTAGCTCTGGTGGTGCCTATGAGAGGACAGAGGTAAAAGTTTGTAGCTGGTCTGGGACGTGATCTAGTTATGTTGACTTGGGAGTGGGACACTGGTGTTCAATAACATTCTGCAATCATTACTGTTGACTTTCTGTGCATGTTGTAGACAAACCTGTAGCTCTGGTGGTGCCTATGAGAGGACAGAGGTAAAAGTTTGTAGCTGGTCTGGGACGTGATCTAGTTATGTTGACTTGGGAGTGGGACACTGGTGTTCAATAACATTCTGCAATCATTACTGTTGACTTTCTGTGCGTGTTGTAGACAAACCTGTAGCTCTGGTGGTGCCTATGAGAGGACAGAGGTAAAAGTTTGTAGCTGGTCTGGGACGTGATCTAGTTACGCTGACTTGGGAGTGGGACACTGGTGTTCAATAACATTCTGCAATCATTACTGTTGACTTTCTGTGCGTGTTGTAGACAAACCTGTAGCTCTGGTGGTGCCTATGAGAGGACAGAGGTACAAGTTTGTCGCTGGTCTGGGACGTGATCTAGTTATGCTGACATGGGAATGGGACACGGGTGTTCACTACCATACTACAATCAATACTGTTGATCAGCATGAACCCATGAACCGCCTAAATGACGGCAAAGCCGATGCCAATGGCAGGATGTGGGCAGGTAAAGTTGTGTAGCCTTTACCCTAGTACAAAATGCCTTTACTATTAGACCCTTTTTATTTTAACCCTTCGAAATATTGGTTTTTTGTGATGTTTAAAATTTAGAAAAATGTAGTATTGATACATTTTATGTAGGTTGAGGATGGAATGCCTCTGTATTAATGATAAGTGTAATTAAGTCCCACACTTAACTAAAGCAAACTGTGCATCATAGCTATTTTCTAGCCTGTTGCAATTTAGCAATTAATTGCTTGTGGTGATCTAGGTCGATACTGTAAGTCGGACATTTTAGTCTAATTAAAATACCGTGTAGATAATTAGTTGAAAAATACAGATATAATGGGGGAGGCCGTTTCACATAAATAATTGTTCGGTTAATTATTATCCGTATATATATATATATTATCAATATGTAAACTTATGAAAGTGTAGTGTGATTAACCTTACAAAACTCGTTTTGACTCAATAAAATGTTTCACTCGGTACTTAAAATAATATTTAATTCAGAATTGTTTTGGGACAAAATGTAAATACTATATGGACAACATAAGATTGTTATTAATACACTATTTTCATGATTCGTATTCCTAATTCCCTAACTTTACTTTAATTTGAGGATATACGCAGAAAATGAAAGATTATTTTTTTAATGCCTTTGTTTGCAAATGTAGAATAATTTTCATTACTGTCTTTGTTGTATAGACATAGCCAAAAAGAATTTTAGCTTAAAAATGAAATTAAATGAAATGAAATGAAAAATGATTTATTTAGTCAGGCAAAGTGAGGGCCACATGGCCCTCTCTTACACTTAATACCTGTTTATACAAATCTAAACATATACTATACAATACAAAATACCATAATCTTAAACAATATTTAATGTAAAAAGAAACAATAAACTTTTAAAACATACCACCTTACATAAACACACACACACACACACACATACACACACACCCCCGTTTGTATGAGGTCCCCCTTAGTGAAAGGTCGCCCTCCCGCGCACACTCTGAAAGGCAGTAGTGCGGACCAACGCACTATTATTGCTCAAACCGAGGACTCAGTCAGATCTTTATATTTTTTTACATAAGTTAAATATTATAAATGATGATTCTAATAACAGTTCCTTAGTCCTTACATACAGTAGTAAAACATATAAAAAAAACCGAATGTCTACCTATAACTTTCAATTGATATTCAATTTTGCTCGCTTGTGAGGACTAACGAACTCTGTATACGACTAGCGACGTGTATCCGACTAGCGAGGCCTCGGGAGTGTTCGACGCCCGATGCTACCGAGGACCTGACGGTGGACCTCCCTAGTGCAATTGAAAGTTCGTACGTGATGACGGTGGACCTCCCTAGTGCAATTGAAAGTTCGTACGTCATGAAGGTGGGCCTTACTAGTATAATTGAAAGTTCGCACGTAATATTACCATACAACTTTTCAAGTTATACCTCGGACATCTAACAAAACGCATATTACGAAGAGTTGTTCTTGTATTTATTTTCATGAGATTACCTACTGTGTTATGATAACTATCTATATTTAAAAATAAAAATAATATTTGGCTGAAAATACAAATTTAGGCCCACTTAGGGTTGTTTCTATAAACCAATTAAAATTAGTACTCCCAAAAAACTCCCGATTGACTGAGATTTTCGGGACAGAGGTTATCTCGGGTTCCGCGAACCTTGAAACAATCCTTTAGAATTGCAAATTATTGAGTTCTAAATAAACAAATTGTCGGTAATGACGCTGGAATAAAACATAAATCAAAGCCTAAAGCTGCATTGGATATATCTCAGAGTATCGGATGACTGGGGCTCAAATAATCGAGAGTGTACTGCAATATACAGGGTTGGGAAAACATCTAATATACATTTAATTTCTTTTAAGCTGTTTAGAAAAATGTCATGAAACCAGAAACCTTAAAGATGTGTGACAACCATAATTAGGAATGATTTGGTGGAGTTCACTATTTCTTCACATAATTGAGGAACGGTCCACGGTGGAAGTCTTGAAATTCCTAAACGTAAACATATCTCGAGTTAAACCTCACCCTAAAGTTCTTATAAAGTAGATCAAAACAACGCAAACTGCTTCGTAAAAGGTGAATCTAATCAGAAATTGTAGTGCCTCAAAGATTTTAATAACATGCCATTAAACTGAACTAGTGGCTTGTAGGGACAAGAGTCCCTAAAAAGCTCAAGTGTAAAACAAATCATTGTAATATTAAACAAACTCAGAATCAAATGATCTTTGTATCAGGATAGATATCCCAGCACAACATACCTTTTGTGTAATACATAGATTGTTGTTTTTATTTGTTGTTTTTGTTGATGTTATCTATTCTATACTATGATATAAAAATCTAATGGTGTCTGTCTGTATGTGTATTACTAATAGGTGCAAAAACTACTGAATCAACTGGGCTTAAATTTTACAATAATATAGCTACCATACCAAGGACCCTTATAGGACTATTCACATTTCGATACTGACCGTAGGCTTTGCCCCTTTGGCTTTAAAAGTTCTGACGTGAACATTTTAAAAGTAAATATTGATTGGTCTCCATGGCTGTGATGAGAACACTAACAATGTTTGTTTACATTCGCTTTGGGCTTTGACATTTTAATGTAAACCAGAAGAACTGCTAAACTGCACATTTCACAATTTCAGACAGCTGATACATACAAAGAAATTAAATATAATATTTTCCATAACTATGAGGTAGGTTTATTTTAATCTAACCTTTTATCGTGGATTATTTATTCAAAAACTATGTCAATGATTATAGAAAAAAAAGATTATATAACCGTTGCTGTGTCAACTCCGGCTCTGCTTTGGATTTTTTAAAGCGTCTAAGTTAAGAAAATAATGTTATTGATATGTTTTCATGGAAACAGTATGAAAATTACAAAGTATAGATGTTTTGTATGAATTTGGAGGCTACTTGAAATAAATTCTAACTGCTTAACATGTGTTAGATTAACTTAACATAACTTGCACATCACATTGTTTTTATATGTAGGCCTATATTTAGGTAAATTAAGTTATTGTGTTTTGCTAAACCTATGCTTAAATTAAACTAAAGAAAATCATCAATAACTAAATTGTACGTCGTTAATTTTTTTTTTCTAAAATCTGTTGTATATGTGTAACTATATTTTATTATTAAATGGTAATACAAAATAATCTTATTTTATCTTAACATAGCTTTCAGTTCACATTTACTTTATTTGATACATTTATTATTTGTGGTTTGCCACACCACTGATTAAATTAAACCAAGGAAAATATCATAAAACTAAGCAGTACACAGTGTTCTTTTGTTTCTAAAATCAATTAAATATATGTTTACTATGTTTACTTAATGGTAAGTGTGAAAATGTAAAGGCAATGGACGATGGAACTGATTAAAAGAACGAGTTGTGTATATTAAGTTGTTTGTTGATATTTTTGTAGAGTAGAATCAGAGATGCAATGAAACATAATTATTCTGTATTTGAATTTTTTTATTTGTATTACATTTTTTAGTCCTTGATGCTTTAATAATCATATTAGTATTGTCTGCTGTCTTTAATGCTAAATTATTTGTTCACAATTTTTTATAGTATCTATAGATATAGTTTCTTTAATATTTCAAAAGACTGTATTCATAAGGCCCAGCAATATTTCTAAAGTTTATAACAGCTGACTTAGTTTTGCTAAAGATTTATTGTGAGTGAAGAAAATGAAGATTGAAGAATTTGTGATTTAATATAAAGAAGAGTGAAATTAAAAAAAAATTCATTTAAATGTAATAATTAGTATTTTTGCAACTTCAAAATTGAAATTGAAAATGTCAATAATAAATTAAAATACCCCCGCCGCAGCAAACCTGCATACTAAGCGAATTTCCATTTGACTGATTGGATTTACACTGAAATGTCTACTTAAAAATATAACATTTATTCTTGATTTAAATAAAATTAGTTTAACAAGTACTTAGGTTTGCTGCATCAGGGAGGATAAAACTGTTTTTTTGTTTTTTTTTTTTTTGTAAAATGTGAATGGTTAGTAAGAAATAAAAACATTTTCCAAATTTGATCAAAATATGTTCACAAACAAGCAAACTACAACAGTTTACTTTTTCTCCATAAGAATAACATGGGAATTTTAAATTTACAATTTTTTGGAATTTTCTCCGTAACTATTAGGCGCATAATAACGCTTCAATATACCTAATTATTTGTTTTTTAAGCTCTACAAAATGGTTTGGAAAGAAATTGCAAAATCTTTTGTTTTTTGGGTCAAAAATGGGAAAACCCTATTTTTACCCCATAAAACCCCCCGTAAACCCCAGTTCCCATGGTCCGATCATGCTGGATCGCGAACTCGTTCGAATAAACGTACGTTTACACGTTTGTACCAAATTTCATCAAAATCGGATCATTTTTGCTTGAGTTATCGTGCTGACGGACATATATATATATATATATATATATAAATAAATATATATATATATATATAAATATATATATATATGAATTTGAACGGATGGTGTTTTTGGCCTCTAGGGACCTCAAAACGAAAAAAAAAATCGGTCCCGCGTCCAGGTCTTACCATGAGTACTACGGTAATAGCTTATTCCCTATATGGGAAATTCGCTAATATATGTAAGATGAAGGTAAATCATGTATGTCAATGTTTTATTCGAAGATTTGGTCAGTTTTTCTCATATCAGCCTACACAAGATTTAAAATTAACTAGGGTTGCTTTCAGAGAGGTGAAAGCCAGTTGAGCGGAACAAACGTGATTTGATATTTGTATAAGTAACTAAATGCAAAAAGGTCAATAGATTTATTTACTAATGCTGGTTTTAAAGATTAAAATTATAATAATTCAAATTTACCTCTTCGAGAAGTGTAAGGTAGTTTTGACCAGGAAAATATTACAGTAGTTGGAATCTGATATTAACATCCAAAAAGGGCATTAAAGTATAAAAAAGAGAAAGG